TCTGCGCCATCTAGTGGCCATATTGCAGTATTACACTGTAACATTTGAAATGACATTCAACTTGTGAAGAAAATGTAACAAGAACATTCATTTTTGCATCTATTCTCACAAAACGAAGGTTCACTGGGATGTGCAGGGTGAGTGGCTCTGCGAATTGTTTACAAATAAGTATTTTTCATCTTCCTGACCTTGGATACGCACGGCGCCATTTGTGGACATCACTATGATCACCTCTGCTAATGTAAGCATACTAGGTCTTGATTGCTGTAAGGCGTGCATGGGGATACCTGTGGCTCAGGGGCATCCCGAGGCTGGGTGACACCCGGAGCGGGTACCGAGTGTCACCCCCGCCGTGACGTCATCGCGCATGCGCGGCAATCTTCTTGATACCTGCCGGCGGCCATCTTGGTGATGGACGCCGGCAGAGAGAGGAGGGGACAGTCACCCGGTGGGATAAGGTGTGCTGCCGGGTCCCCTCCTCTCTCCTTATACTGTCGGGTGCTCGGTCCATGACCGAGTGCCCGACTTTTCAGAGGGGGGTGACACCAAAATGACTGTTCAGTCATTTTGGTGTCACCCCTCCAATGGTGTCACCCGGGTGGGCCGCACCCCCCTTGTGACGCCACTGCTCTGGCTACCTTGTTTATAAATAAGTATTTTAAATCTTCCTTATTTCTGGAAGTTTTTCTAGATACGGATCACCCTCTTGGCTCATGTAGGGACTGGGTAAGCTACCTGATGAGAGGGAAAGTATTCTTGGATTGGTACTTCTGCTGGAGCATGGTGACCACTATTTACCCCTACCAGGGTCGGATTTACTCTCTCTGCTGCCCCAAGGTCAGCTTCCTCAATACACCCCCCCTCCCCACTGTAGGCAGGCTGTATACAAGTCAGCAACATCGCCGAGATCACTTAGTACAAAACAAGTGGCGGCTTCCCCGCTGTACATTTAGCCCTGCGTGCCCAAAGCCGGGCTAAATGTAGAAAGCAACTACCCGCCCGGTGCCCGGAACTGTATGTCCCGGACATCGGGAGATAGGAATTTCCACACCCCTGCTGCCCCTCTACTCCCTGCTGCCCCGAGGCCAGGCTTTGGTTGGCCTTGTGGGAAATCCGGGCCCTGGGCCCTACTACTCCTCGCTCCGTCTAATGTCTATCCAAGCTGTGGTCAGCACGAGGAAGGAAAAAAGTAATAATTGAATCTTGTGTGAAGAGTAGTAGAACATAGACATGTTTCCCTCTATGCAGGAACATACGCCGACCTCGCTGAGACTTCTGTATCTTTCTTTGGACCTTTCATTTCTTGGGGGAGCTTCCCAGAAACGAGGGATCAACGCTTCTCCAGAGCAGAAGTATATCAAGCCTGAGATACACTGACCTTTGCTTACCTCCCTGTCTAATATCCTCTCATGTGACCTCCTCAGTGTTAATGAGTAGAGGCATCTGGGGGGGGCTGGTGGCATCGCCGGCGTGTAATGAGAAATGAGTAAACTTAATTCACTAATGAATTATTAAGCCCAAACTCTGAAATATTCATAGCGGTTTAGAGGAACAAATCTACGGCTCTCGGGAACTTGCTGTTTAAAGAGATTCTTATCAGCGTTACGGCCGCAACCGCGAGCGACACAACCAGATATAACGAGTGCCATACAACACGCGTCTGCGTGTAGGACAACTTGTAAACTAGAAAAGATGGTACATGCATGACCGGCCTTTATAGCAGGGCGCACATTGGGATTTTTGTGTTTTTTGCGCCCTGCTATAAAGGCCGGTTATAGATTCATGCATGTATCCGGGATGTATACTTCTTTACCAGGATGATGAGCCTATTCCTCCGCACATCTCACCCCAATGACATCACACTTTTATTTATCCGCCATTAAAACTAATACAATTCTTCTGGGCTCCAAGATTCTTGGAGCCCAGAAGACGGGCATTGGACTGAGAAGGAGGCAAAGCATCGTTATTGTGGCATTTTTTCCTCCTACTGACACCGACCCGGGGGGGCATCTTTATCTCCCACTGACATCGACCCAGGGGGGCATCTTTATCTCCCACTGACATCGACCCAGGGGGGCATCTTTATCTCCCACTGACATCGACCCAGGGGGGCATCTTTATCTCCCACTGACATCGACCCAGGGGGGCATCTTTATCTCCCACTGACATCGACCCAGGGGGGCATCTTTATCTCCCACTGACATCGACCCAGGGGGGCATCTTTATCTCCCACTGACATCGACCCAGGGGGGCATCTTTATCTCCCACTGACATCGACCCAGGGGGGCATCTTTATCTCCCACTGACATCGACCCAGGGGGGCATCTTTATCTCCCACTGACATCGACCCAGGGGGGCATCTTTATCTCCCACTGACATCGACCCAGGGGGGCATCTTTATCTCCCACTGACATCGACCCAGGGGGGCATCTTTATCTCCCACTGACATCGACCCAGGGGGGCATCTTTATCTCCCACTGACATCGACCCAGGGGGGCATCTTTATCTCCCACTGACATCGACCCAGGGGGGCATCTTTATCTCCCACTGACATCGACCCAGGGGGGCATCTTTATCTCCCACTGACATCGACCCAGGGGGGCATCTTTATCTCCCACTGACATCGACCCAGGGGGGCATCTTTATCTCCCACTGACATCGACCCAGGGGGGCATCTTTATCTCCCACTGACATCGACCCAGGGGGGCATCTTTATCTCCCACTGACATCGACCCAGGGGGGCATCTTTATCTCCCACTGACATCGACCCAGGGGGGCATCTTTATCTCCCACTGACATCGACCCAGGGGGGCATCTTTATCTCCCACTGACATCGACCCAGGGGGGCATCTTTATCTCCCACTGACATCGACCCAGGGGGGCATCTTTATCTCCCACTGACATCGACCCAGGGGGGCATCTTTATCTCCCACTGACATCGACCCAGGGGGGCATCTTTATCTCCCACTGACATCGACCCAGGGGGGCATCTTTATCTCCCACTGACATCGACCCAGGGGGGCATCTTTATCTCCCACTGACATCGACCCAGGGGGGCATCTTTATCTCCCACTGACATCGACCCAGGGGGGCATCTTTATCTCCCACTGACATCGACCCAGGGGGGCATCTTTATCTCCCACTGACATCGACCCAGGGGGGCATCTTTATCTCCCACTGACACCGACCCAGGGGGGCATCTTTATCTCCCACTGACACCAACCTGGGGGGGGCATTTTGTCCTCACACTGATGCCGGGGCATTTCTTTCACTGTTAGCATATTAAACTCTTCAATTCACTACATTGTGACTCAACCATTGGCACTATCTCCGCGCATGCTGCAACCATGAAATATTAGCCCCACCCCTACTCCTCCCCATGCCCCGCCCCCACTCTCAGACCCGCTGAGTTACAGTCACCCCCAGGTATTACCATTACATCATTTGTTACATTGTATTAAACGTGTTACAATCTCAGAGACGAGGCTACAAAATGGAAGAAGAAAAAAGGAAGGACGTTGCCCATACAGACTATTGTGTTCCTCTGGTAATGCGTGTTACCGCAAGGCATGTGCCCGAGCGCAGTGTGGTGCTGTGCGTTGGTAAAACAGGGTCATGTGATCTTTTTGTTAGTGCATTGTGGTGTATCGGCAGCCCATTCGAAAAAAGCGAGCTGCCTTACCGCAACAGACTTGCAATGATGCAGAGCAATGCACAGCAAGTGTGCGAATCCATCCTGAAGTCTGGATAATAAGGAGAAGCAGCCCTGCAATACTTGGGCCCCTGGATCTCAAGGGGCCCCTGAGCAGTCACACCCTGTAGCCACATGTTGTGTAGTATCTGAGGCGCTAGGAACGCAATAGATTCAGTTGCTGCACTGCGGGGGATCCGCACGGCACGTCCACGCTATAGTGGATAAAGCAGATCGATGTTCTGTTAACCTTTTACTAATGATCGCTTCACAGAACCAGGTGCTTTCCCCGAACGCACGACTTAAGCCGCTCGGCGCACTCATAAATCACCTAATCGCGTAACTGGATTGTGGAGACTGTTGCAGCCCGCGACGCGTCTACCGCAAATGGGGGTTTAAGAGTATATTATAGAGATATATCACAAGGG